AGGAGGAGAGAGAGAGAGAGAGAGAGAGAGAGCAGGAGATTCCCAAGGAGATGGCCTGAGGTGGCAGCAGGATTCCACCTTTCGATCTGATCCCATCAGGAACCTTCGGCTCCGATGACTTATCATAATCCACTGGAAACGCAGCGGCGAAAGAGGGCGCGACCGACACGAAGAGTTCTGCGAGGCGAAAGGCGGCCGGGAAATTGCGGCGGGTATCAATTGAACCCCCACCAAAATTTACTAATTTGCCATTTGAAATTATCTTTTTTTTTTTCTTTCAAAAACAATATTCTTTTGGTTTCTTTACTCGTCATTAATCATCTAAAATGTCAAATAATAATGATAATAATAATAATGATAATTGTCAGAAAATTCTATGGCTTTCCAATAGAAAATGTTTGAAAGATAAATAAGATGATGATGACGACAACAATATTTATTTATTTATTTATTATTATTATTATTATTATTGATTGATCCTATCAAATAGTGTTGACCATTCTTAGGTGATATGAATTAGGATCATATCATGATTACATGTTTCTTATAACAACAGTCTTAACAATGTACTAATACAGGTATAATTAACTTTAATGACCGTTTTATAATCGTTGACTTTGGAGCCAAATCTGACATCGTTGACTAAATTTGCATCGTTGACTTTGGAGAGCTGCACGGAATTAATAACACAGAAACAAAGAACATGCCTCCCATTCATCAAGAAATGGAAGTTTCAATGTCCAACAAAGAAAGAAATAATATGAAAGCATTGATGACACGAAGATTTAGACCAAAAACTTGAGAGCTGTAAGATCAATTAAAATCATTACAATTAAAATTATACATAAACACACACACACACACACATTCAGATATATAGATATATGAAACTATTCAATGTTTTACATCACAGGAAGACTTCAACATCTATTAGATTTGACTTTAAGATAGTAACAAATGCTTATATAACATAAGTTGATATGAACATTAAAAAACAAAAGTAGCTCAGCTGCTATTTTTTTAAAATATCACTTGCAATGAGAAAAATATGTGTTTCGTATGACTCATTAGTGACAATGGATCAATGATTCTTAATTTTAGGACTCGAATAAGGAGCAACATTACCACTATACCAAAACTCGCTCTCAACAGACCAATGAGAATGTTGAAATGTGTAATGGTATATAAATATTAATCAATGAATAAGAAATGACCTTTTGAAACAACAAACAGCAATGCATCCATGATGATTCCTATGCAAATCCATTTGATTTAGAGAAACTACTTTCATATTCCATATGAGCAACTGATAGCCGAGACTTCAGAAAGTCAAAACAACCACAAACATGTCCTTTGCCAACAGAATCTCATCTCATTTTACATTCTTTGCAAGCTTTTGATTATCTCTAATGTTACTGAGATCGTGTTCCAGTTTCTTCATTTTTGCTTCTTGCTCCTTAATCACCAGCGTAAGCGATCTCACATCCAAGGCTTCAGACAATTCGCTCAGAGTATGGGACTGCAAAATCATAACAATCAATCTTCAGCATTGTGTTTAATCATAAACAAAGATAAGTTCTTTCACCTCTTTTGTTTTGCAACTATATTCCAATTGGCTGATAAGACAGCAACCAAAATGAAGAAGTCTAACACAAAAGATACTCATCAGCAAAGAAACAATTTAGGCATGCATTTATATTACTCATTTTGAGTCGACATGAATCAGGTATAATTGCCAGTAAGCAACAAAATAACAATATTGTGAGTATTGTCCTCGGCAAGAAGTTTTAAGGGTAGATCATCAATAAGAAGTTTTAATCTCTCTCTCTCTCTCTCTCTCTCTATATGTATATATATAAATATGTATATATATATATGTATATGTATATATGTATATATGTATATGTGTATATATATATATATATATATATTTTTATATTTATATGTATATGTATATGTATATATATTTACATATACATATACATATATATATGTACATATATAAGGTAACAAAATTCCTTGTCGAGTAAGTTTCAACTAACATGAAAGAAGTAACGATCTAAGCATTATCTCGGAAAGAGACTCAATGAAATAGATATATTTGTGAAGATGCAGACTACCCACACCAGGACAGAAAGACCCTATGAAACTTTACTATTTCCTAGGATTTACTTTAGATCTTTCTTGCATAGCTTAGATGGAAGGCGAAAAAGGCCTCCTTCCGAGAGGGCCCGAGCCTTCAGTGAGATACCACTTTGAAAGAGCTATAATTCTAATATTGTGTTAGGACCTATGGGCCAAGGGATAATCTCAAGTAGACAGTTTCTATGGGGCATAGACCTCCTGAAAGGTAACAGAGGCATGCAAAGGTTTCTTCGAGCCGGACGGAGATTGACCCTCCAGTGCAAAGGATAGATACTTTAAAGGGTCCTGTTGGTATCGTTAGTACCAAACGGTTCAAACCATATCAATCCTGTACTAGTCCAATCGGTAACCACTATAGCATTGGACCAAGATTTTAATCCTTGATCATCATTATACCCAAAAGTTATTGAAATTTCCTATATGGACTTCCACATCAGGTCTGTTCTTTATGGATTTATATAGCAAATCATTATTCCAACGTGGTAAGCATATCAGATTATATCCACATGAGAAACATTTGCATAATACAAATTTGTGTGGTGTTGCAAGTTTATAGTAGTTCTGTGTTTGAATTTTTCTAAATATCTGGACACTTGACATTAATGCATACAAGAATTGCCAAACCATCCACATGATAAACAAGATTTACAATGGAGCTAGATTATATTTGGATTGGTTTTAGAATATAGCACTAAAGGGAAAAAAAATGTAGTCACTATCGACTTCGAAAAGATGATATGCAAGAAAGAGTGCACGGCTTTGTAGTCACTATCATGTTGGAAAAAGGCTCCACTTGTTCTAATGGTGTGCTGATGCTTGCCTTCTCTGTGAATCAGCACTTTAAGCTCACAAGAAGATCTTCCGTAACATCAACAAACTTAACATGCCTACATGAATTAACATCTTACCTGGTGTGTAGAAATAATGACTTTCGTCATACAGATTGTTTTCTTCTAATTTTGACAATTTTTCATGATTGCATTTGTAGTTTGTGTATAGCTGCAAACTTTCAAGATCTTAGGTAGGTCCTAGGAAACTTTTTCTTGTTAACACTATTTATTAAATCCTTGCAGTATGGATTACAGTAACAAAATGCACACAATAATGGCTACCATGGCACAAACACAAAAATAAAAAAGAGGAACATGCTGGGCTAATATATAAAACAAGAATCCAACACTCAGGAAAATGTCCTTATCTAAGAAGAATCCAATGGCACATCAATCCATTCAATATGTCCAATCAAATCCAAAAAAAGAACTGATATTTACAGCACTGCAGCTATCCAAACCAAGGCTTCAATTACCAGTCAAATCAGTACATATTGACCAGTGTTTACTGGATGACATTGTTGGCATCGGTGTGGATATTTAGTTTTTATTTATTTTTTCTGGTGTTACCGAGCGGCACAGGTTGGCATATACCCAATATACAGCTGTTTAAATGGTCCAAACAATTATCAAAACTGGTTTTGGACCATGATTTAAGCCCTTGATACAGAAGATTTACTCATCTCTAGTTTGATTATGAGAATCCATCATCAGAAAAAAGGCAAATTCAATATGCTAACAAAAAATGGCTAACCAGAATAAAAAACCAGAAACTCAGAGGTAGTTCCAGAGGTCATCACAGTGTGCTTTATGCATGTTGATCTTTATGTGGCATTGATCTGAATGAGGATATGCATGCACCTATGCATATTACTGGACTTGTTTATTTGAGACAATATTTGGTGAATAACCCTAAACCATATTGTCTCTCCCCAAGTTTGAAAACAGGAAAAGCAGACACTGAAGCAACAAAAGTTACCATCTCAAGCTATATATGAGAAACCATAAATTGCTCTCCAGCATTAAGAAATCCAGAAAACGAAGCACCCATGAACAGGAAATTGTGAACAAGTAAGATAATATCTTAGTATGGTGCCATGGTTGAATCAAAATGTCAAAAACAGAGATCTCACACTAAAGTAATGTGAGGTAACTAGGAAGTAGGTTGGGACATAAGGACGTGGAGCGAGTGAAATGGGTAGCAGTAGTTAAGGGTCTAGGAGCAGCAATGGTTTGGCTGTAACACAAGTGTGCAAAGGCACTTCAGTAAGAGAAATTGTAACATGTAAACAGTGTAAAGGAGAACAACAAAGAACTGCTGGTTGATTAGGTACAAAATAGATGTAGCTAAGGTTGCAGAAATGGATCACAGAAGAGAGAGGCAATGGAATCACAAGCATAGTCATATGATTCAGTAATTTTTTGAGAAAATCCACAAATAATTGATGAATTTTTGCATGAACAAGATCTCTTTGTATTATTCTCTTGAGCACTGTTGAAAAACAACATGTCACATAGTTGCAATTACTTAATGTTGGTCGAGTATATGCGCACATCTAACTGTGAACTAAATAGATCCTTGATTAGCCATAGAATCTGCAAATTCATAAGTCATCATATATCTATGTATAAGTGTTTTTATCATATTGTAATTTTCACAAACATGTTTGACAATGCAACTACTAACTGCATGTGACAAAGGAGACACGACAAATATTTGCTTGTGAATATAACAATAAGCAAGAGAACAGCAATCTGAGAAACAAAATAAACCTTTTCCAAGAGTTGCACACGCCGTCTTAGCTCTTCCACCGAAGCCTCCTGCTTGTGAAGCACTTGAAGAACGTACAGTAGGTGTGACCGTAGACATTCTGAACAGTGCTTCTCAAGATTACACAGTGGGAAAGCAGAATGACAACCAACTTGGTAGAAAGGGCAGTTGACAAGCTTCATGGGGCATATGGTTATGCAATGTCTGTCCATGTCATGCCTCACTATTCTCTCTGAGCACTTTTGCTCGCATGGAATGACCTTAAAAGGGCATTCTGAGTCATGCTTTTCTGCATGAATAGCAGAAAATTTAGCCTTGCATCCCTCGTTTGTGCAACCTAATATCCTGAAGCTACATTGGGTTTCATGCTCAGCAAGCTGTTGAGCAGAGTCAAACTTTTTTGAACAGTGGAATGCTCTCTTCAAGTCCACATTCCTGATCAGGATTTCTGCAATGGCTTCCCTCCGATCAATTGACCAGAACACATTTGTCTCCATTTCCTGCACAAAATCATCAATCTTTTCTTCTCGGCTTTCGTTGGACAACCAACCCGAAACACGACTGAACAAGTTCCGTTTTGAACTTGCAAAATCATCAACAAAACCGGATATGATTTCAGTTGGTTCATCAGAAAATTCTTCCACCATATTCGCAATATCATCTCCTTGGCCTACAGCTTCCGTGACATACATTTGACTTCTTTGCTTGAGATAGTCCACCATCTCCTTCCTCGTAACAACAGCAACAGAAGCTGGACTCTTGAACAGACCAGTGGTATTGTCAACACAAGCTGTGGCCAATCCAGGAAGCAGTAATTGTGCTATCTTCCGCACCAACTCCTTGTCACATTGATTGCAATGAAACAACGGCTCACTCTCGTTTACAAATCCACAATCTGATTCTGGGACATCCATCGCACCTTCTAACCAAAGTTTATGAACCAGTACCAATCAGAATCAGTGCAATGACTCCTAAATAGACAAGCTGGCACAAGGAACAACTAGAAAAGCATCAATATCTTCAGATGGTTTTCCATATATTAGCACCGCAAGCAATTCATGTTGCAAGAAGAAAAAAAGGGTGAACCATAGCACAACCCGGTGACAGACAACAGCATGCATAATCTGTGAAATCATCATCAATCGATCGCATTCACTCAAACGGAACAAAACAGGGCTTATAATGAGAAGAAAAAAAAAAGTGATATTTTTTTGCCTAATCATTCTACAAAACAAATGAAGAAGAAAAGGAAAACTTCAAATGATACGAAAAAACCCATGCATCGACAGAACCAAATTACTCAAATCATCAAAACTCTACAACCAATGAGCACATAAACGACAACACGAGCAAGACATCCTTTCTGATTCTCTAATCGAGGCGAGCACAGTCTTGATTCTTCCAGAATTCGATCACAGAGAGGGAAGGAGGCAAAATCACCTGATTTCTCGCAACCTTTCCTTGACGGATCAAGAATCAACGAGTTTGTTTGGCGGATCCAACTGCTTCACCGCTTCGATTCCGAACGGGGAAGAAGGAAATGGGGTGGCGAAAGCGTACTAAACGCATCCTTTTCCTGCTGGCCGTTGGATACGAGATCTGATCGGGGAGGTGATGGGAATTCAACGGTGATGAAGCCTCCCACCGCAGCAAAGCTCTTTGCGGCAGAGCTTACTGTATTATTTTTATTATAATTTCTTTTGGTTATTTGATTATTTTTTAGAGTTTCATAAAACTTAAAATAATGTATATTATCCTTAAAACTTTTGATAAAGCATATATTAATTATTATTAAATATGATTTATATTGATTAGTTTAGCTCAAAATATATGAGAATATGAAACAAATAAAATAGTATTATTATTTATTAGACTCAGAAATAAAACAATATATATATTTATAATTCAAACTCAAAATTTATTATTATTATTATTATTTAGGTCAAAAATATCATTTAAAAAATTTAGGGTTGAACTCATATATTTAAATTATTAAACAAGTGGTAAATCTCCATATTTATTTTTAAAAAAATATTTAGGAAAAAAATACTGATATGTACAATAAAATATTATATAATATTAATTAAACATGGAATGAAATAGAGACATGCTGATACAGAAACAGTGCGATCTATAGAGCAATCTATAGTGGTGTGGCGGTGACCGGATGCTACGTTATGTGGGTTGAACTCATCTGCTTGCATGCTTCCTTCGTCCAATCCAAATCCGTCGTCGTCATCGCTATCTACATCCTGATTCTTCCGAGGAGGCAGCCATTAGCTGGGAGCTGCGAACCCGCCACCCTTCATCATCTGCTTGAACTCCTTAAAGTTGACGACGCCGTCACCGTCCACGTCCACCTCGTTGATCATCTTCCGGCAGTCCTCGGCGGTGCGGCCTTGCTTGAGGCCGAGGGAGGCGAGCACGGAGCGCAGCTCCTCCACGGTGATGAACCCGTCGCCGTTGCGGTCGAACACGTTGAAGGCCTCGCGCATGTCCTCCTCCTCGTCCCGCTCGTCCATGATGGTGCGGTAGAGCGTGCCGAACTCCTCCACGTCCACGCAACCGTCGCCGTTGGCGTCGATCCTCTCGATCATGGACGCCAGCTCCGCCTCGGGGACGAGGATCCCCAGGTTCTCCAACGAGTCGGTGAGCTCCGCCTTGGTGATGCGGCCGTCGCCGTTGCGGTCGAACATCTGGAAGACCCGTTTCAGCTCCGACGGGTCCATCGCGGACGCAATGGAGATCCAGATGCAGAGAAGCTGAAGTAGAGAAAGAGAGAGAATGGCGAGAAGAACGCAAGAGGAGGAGGAGGAGGAGGCTGCCGCTGAGGTAAAGGCAAAGAAGGGAACGCCTCACGAGTATACTTGGCAGGAGTCGGTTTCATTGCCCAATGGATTGTGTGGTGCGGAGGAATTGGAGGTGGCGATAAGCTTCGAGGCCGCATCTCCTCTTCTCTTCTCTTCCTATCTATCTTCTACTCGTAATACTAAAATTAGATCAATTAATTTATAAATATAAAAATTATTATATTAATTACCTCAGATAATAATCATCGATATACAGATAATTCGGCTATCAAAGAAATTAATTACTTAACCTCGATTGGATCAGAGAAAATTAAATTATTTTTATTTTTATTGAAACTCACTTTTATTTTTCTTTTTGCAAGCATCAATCACTTGATGATAACAACTCATCATCGAAATCAAAGATGAAGGATAATGAATACACAAGATAAATATATATATATATATATATATATATCATCAAGAAACCTATTATGAACAGTTGCATCCATTGTTCTCTAACCATTGGATAGGGTCAACACACCTTCCTCATAAATGAAAACAAGCTTAGGAGCCATGCACACTCCTCCTTTGCACAAGAAGCTTGTGAGAGCAATGGTGGTGGTCAGTGAAGAAGAAGGTTTGATGTTTTGTGATGCAAAAGATTGGGAATCTACAGGCAAGAGTTTTCTTTTCTAGGTGCTAATTTGAGGACAACAAGAACTTGTTGTAGACCTATATAAGGTGAAAGAATCTTTTTGGAACTTGGATTTCACAAATTGTTGAAGAAAAATGAAATAAGATATTACAAATAAGTTGAAAGTGGAAGAAAGGGAAGAAGAAAATGAATGGGGGGGGATTACAGTTTGCAGATTGCGAGGAAGAGAGGAAGGAAAAGGTTATCATAAATCAAGATAATTCACTTTGGTGGATTTCTGAAACATAGAAGCACTAAATGGAAACACTGCAAGTGTAAATGATCAGTCCTTATTTCATCTAAGAATCCAATTGTATTTCTCAACCACTACAAGTTAGAAATAGTAAGATTCCCACCTAAAGTTGCCAACCCAGGTTAGCAGCAACACTGATTGGCATCTTTGAAAGTGAGATTTGGTGATCAAGAGGAGGGAGAAGACAAGTATTTTTTTGGCTTCTTTTTTCCTTCATATAAGAATAGGTAAAAGGACTTGCTATTGGACTAGAAAATGAATAGACTTCAAAAATATTCATCTGCATTCAACCTACAACCTACTTTGCTTTTGCTTCTCAAGCTCATTCTAAGGTATCCATGTCCACCTGAGGACAAGCTTCTAAGGTAGAATCTACTTTTAGTGTCTCCCAAAAAAATAATACAAACATGTGGGTGATGTCCTTTGAGAATCATATTGAAGGCTGCACAGTGAGTGAACAAACTAATTTCTTCCTTCATTACAAGTCTGTCTTTTGGTCATATCATACTCATGGAGAAAATTTGAATAGTTGAAGTGGAGGACATCAAGAATTTTATATTTATTAAAAATATTTTATAGGATAGTCATGTTTTATGGATCTATGTGTTGAATGGTTTGGAAATAATATGCAATACTTTGTTGTCAGGATCTGCAACACTTCCTGACCAACCATAGACCAAGGCTTTATTCTGCAACTCTTAGGCTTCATGTGATAGATAGTTCAACCATTGACCAAAGAATTGTTTTGCAATATGATAATCTCAAGTTCCTCCAAATCAGTGTCTCATTACTTTAGAATATCACAGCTATTACACTTCAAAAAAGTATGAGGCACACTAAACACTAACCCATTCTTTTTTAGGGAGTACAATAAAAAAATTTCATCCAACTGTAGTGGCAATTTGAAAGGCAATCAATGAGCAAGTGGATGGTCAACACAAATCTGGGCATTAATGTCAACTGTCAAATCTTGTGACCACTCAGCTAATCTACTGGTTTTGCACAAAACATGAACAATCTTCATAGTCTTCACAGATGCATTCAACAAGGAAAAAGCATTCAGAAAATTTGGAGTGGAGCAAAGGACAGATTCTTCTTCTGCAGCAGGTAAATCATGTTTACAGACTGAAACTCTACTAGTGGTGACACCATATGATCCTATTTTCTTATCGTTTTCAGAAATCAGTTTAATATTTATAATCTTCCACATGCATTGATTCCAGATAGTGTGTTGACTTCATCAACCCACAGCAAAAGTGTTTGATGTCAAGTAGGCTCATGTTTCTGAAGGCCACAATAGTTTATGTCAAAGATCTGCAGCACATCTTCTTTTCAATTATCTGAGAATGTCATGCAGGCCAATGCTCACATGCATGATCAGATAAACTGTTTCTTTTGAAAGCTTTCCATGGTTTCTCCCACTCTCATGGGAAACAGGGAAATGGTTCATGTGAAGTCTATTCATGAAGAGCTCATCATACTGAATGAACAAATTCTGCTGCAGTAACTGTTGTTTAAACTATGTAAGAAAGTTGTATCGAAAAAGTCAAAGACAAGAACAGGAATAGAGTAGCTGCTGTCTTTCTTTTCTTTGAAGTTGCAACCATATTCCTGAGTTACCACTGGCAGTCAAAGGTCACAAGACAGCCAGTGGAAGGAAGAAGAAACTTGAAGCTGATGCCTTTAGTCTTTAGAGAGTCAGACTCTCTCTTTCAACTTGCACACAACTGGAAAGACAATAAGCAGTGAGTGAGAGGAGGCAAAGGAGAAGAGAAAGATCAAGAAAGGAAAAGAAACATAAAATAAATAGATCAATTGCATAACAAAGTCTTAATATTTGAACATATAGAGTTGGGAGTCATGTAACAGATCATGGAGCATCTTCAAGATTACATGTGTTTGTGGCAGAATGTTACTAGGATGAATGATCTCCTAAAAAAGCCCTCTTCCTTCAGAGAACTTATTCTGCTAAAACAGATCTGTTTGTTTGTCTTCTTGGCAGATTTGAGACAAAGCAACTCCTACATTAGCAGTTTATACTTCAAAATGAATTGTGTATTTGGTGATCATAATTTAGGCCTTCTCTTTGCCTGCTGCTCCTCACAAAACTTGTAAGATTCAGCAAAGGTGTAATGTATGCCAAAAACAAAAATATTGGCAAGTCCTTCAGCTTGTCATTGGGATGAGAGAGTGCAACAATTTAGTTTCTTGGGACAAGCAATGTGTTGGGAAACTTGAATCTAAAGATGATGATGTCTTCTCAATGATACTGATAATATGGCTTTTCACATTCTAAACTTATATGTCTTCTCAATAATCAAAACATGTATCAACTTCTGATTTGGTTGTCTAGAATCCTGAGTATGTGTTGTGCTTCTTGTCCTATTTATGGTCCCTATTGTATGACAATCCACAACATTTCTTATCTAATTGTTCATTTTCTTCCCTTTTTTTTTTGCTGTGTGGTAAGCTCATGATCAAATATATGAAATAAAAGGACTTAAGACCATTATTTGATGTGGCACAGTTCATTGAGCCTCCAGAACAGAGGATTCTTTTCATGCAAACACAACAAGTGGTGCAGAGAGTGCAAAGGAAAGTTGGCACTCACCTTGCTGAAGAATTCGAATTGAAGAACATGTGCGCGCAGATCCAGGCACAGAAACATAGTGCATTTATGTCTCATTAAAATTCCCACCTACGCCTGCCTCCAACCAGGAACTAGTATTTATTGCATTCAATGCTCTCATCCCATCTCCCACGCCCCCCCTCCCCCTCCTCTCTCTCTCTCTCTCTCGCTCCTGCTGTTGTAGCCCCTTTCATTCGGTGTGTTACCCAAAGCTCCTCACCATTTCCCGACCTCGAGACCGGGAACAGGGAACCACAGAGCCGACCGCTCATGGCATGGGCGAGCCGTCTTCTCAATAGCTTCTTCTTTCCTGTGCCTTGGAGTTGGTCGTCTGATGGTCTTTGCTTGGAGTCGGATGAATAAAAGGAAAGTTAGGTTTTTTGCTTTCCTTTTTGTCCATGGGGCGGATGTATTTGATGGCCTGCTTTCGTCTTTGACCTCGGCGTTCAGATTCTTGCAGGATTTCTAGTGAAAAGGCGGCGCCTTTGGAGTTATCACTTGATGAGTAGTTCCGGATTCCATGTTCGGGTTCTGTTCCCATGTCATCTCGGAAATCGCTGGGATTTTTCGACCGAGTCCTCTCTTTTTTTTCTTGGATGATGTAAGAGATCCGGTTTCTGTTCCACCTGCGATTTTTTTTCCGTCTGATGTGGCTCTCAATCTGCGAAGGATTCGAAGTTGTTGTGGTTTTCCGTTTGGGTGCTAAAAAGGCGCGCTTTTTATGACGCGAAGGTGGTGTTCTACAGTGGTGTGACTGTTCTTGAGGTTGTGTCTCGGTTGCACATTGCCGCCTCCATCTGAGTGCAAGAAAAATGAACTATGTTAGGTCTGGGTTTCTGATTCAAGCAGCGTTCTTGGTGATGATTTCTGGGTCATCTAATATGGGGGTCTCGGGCCTTGGATCGATGTCCTCCATTGCCGTTTCCTACGGTGAGAATGGCCCGGTCTTCTGTGGTCTAAGCTCGGATGGTTCTCACTTGGTTGCTTGCTTTGGTGCTGATGCTTCCATAGTCTATGGCGCTCCTCTTCGACTCCCCCTCCTGGGTCTCACGGCCGGCGATGGTTTCGTCTGCGGCCTTCTCTTGGACACAGGCCAGCCCTATTGCTGGGGCAGCAACATCTTTGTGAAGATGGGCGTGCCTCAGCCCATGGCGGAAGGCGCGTCCTACTCGGAGATCAGCGCCGGTGACGACCACCTCTGCGCGCTTCGCAAACCGGCCATAGACTCTCGAAAAGGCGCCTCGTTGATCGACTGCTGGGGCTACAACATGACCGCCTCGCACGAATTTGACGGCGCCGTTGCGGCGATCACTGCCGGCTCGGTGTTCAGCTGCGGGATGTTCATCCACAACCGGACGGCATTCTGCTGGGGCGATGAGACCAGTAGCGGTGTGATAAGCTTGACGCCGAGGAACTTGAGGTTCCAATCGATTTCGGCCGGTGGATTTCATGTCTGTGGGATCCTGGAGAACTCCCAGGTCTTTTGCTGGGGAAGGAGCCTGGAGACGCAGCAGTTATCTTTAGGCCATGGAGATGTTAAGATGGTGCCCATGGATCCTATGGTTTCGGTAGCCGGGGGGAGGTTCCATGCTTGTGGAATTAAGAGCTTAGATCACAAGGCTGTTTGCTGGGGCTTTATGCTTCAGAACAGCATGCCACCACCTAAGGATTCAAGGTTGTATGAGATTGCGGCCGGGGACTACTTCACATGTGGTGTTCTTGCGGCGACTTCGCTTAGGGCCGTCTGCTGGGGCACCGGCGTCCCCTGGTCAATTCCGATGGCTGTCTCTCCTGGAATCTGTGCTTCTAATCCTTGCGGCCAGGGGTACTATGAATTCAGTCATACAAGCTTGGGGAATAAAGTCTGCAAGCCAGCAGATTCAAGAGTTTGCTTACCGTGCAGTGTTGGGTGCCCTGAAGGGACATACGAATCCACGCCTTGCAATTTGACCTCAGATCACGGTTGCGAGTTCAATTGTTCCAGTTGTGCTTCAGTCGAATGCTCCTCCTTCTGCTCGTCACAGAAAGAATCCAAGAGCAAAAGGTTGCTCTCTCTTCAAATGCCAATCTTCATTGCAGAAATTGTCTTTGCAATCATCTTTGTTAGCTCAGTCTTCTTAGTCGCATGTCTTTACGCTCGCCATAGGCTGCAGAGCTGTAGGTGTTTGGAGTCTGCAGTGACTACATCGAGAAAACGGACGTATTCTTTTCACAAGGAAATGGTGAAAGTCGGACCAGACTTGGAGGAGCTCAAGATCAGGAGGGCTCAGATGTTCACCTATGGAGAACTGGAGAAGGCGACTAGTGGATTCAGTGAGGAATCACTCGTCGGGAAGGGTAGCTTCTCGTGTGTTTTCAAAGGGGTCTTGAAAGATGGGACTGTGGTCGCGGTGAAGAGAGCCATAAGAGTGTCTGATGTGAAGAAGAACTCCAAGGAGTTCCATACGGAACTCGACCTGCTGTCAAGACTAAATCATGCTCATTTGCTCAACTTGCTTGGATACTGTGAGGAAGGTGGTGAGCGGCTTTTGGTTTATGAGTTCATGGCTCATGGATCTTTGTACCGACACCTTCATGGCAAGGATCTGTGCCTAAGAAAGCGGTTGGATTGGGTTCGTAGGGTGACGATTGCCGTCCAGGCTGCTAGGGGGATAGAATACCTGCATGGATATGCTTGTCCACCGGTAATTCACAGGGACATCAAGTCTTCGAACATTCTCATCGATGAGGAACACAATGCTCGAGTTGCAGATTTTGGTCTTTCTTTGTTGGGTCCAGCAGATAGCAGCTCACCATTATCTGAACCTCCTGCTGGTACTCTCGGCTACCTCGATCCTGAATACTATAGACTTCATTACTTGACTACGAAATCAGATGTATACAGTTTTGGGGTTCTGCTGCTGGAGATTTTAAGTGGTAGAAAAGCAATCGATATGCAATTTGAAGAAGGAAACATTGTAGAATGGGCAGTTCCACTGATCAAAGCTGGGGACATTTCGGCGATTCTGGATCCAGTGCTGAAACCTCCAGCTGACCTGGAGGCTCTCAAGAAAATTGCTGCCATGGCATCCAAGTGCGTTAGGATGCGGGGAAAGGATCGGCTGTCGATGGATAAGGTGACGACCACTTTGGAGAGAGCTCTCGCACTGTTGATGGGCAGCCCGTGCAACGAACAGCCAATCCTGCCTACAGAGGTAGTTCTAGGGAGCAGTAGGTTGCACAATAAAGCTTCACAAAGGTCTTCAAACAGGTCATGTTCGGAGAATGACACTGATGACCAGATTTACGAGTATAGAGCTCCTTCGTGGATCACATTTCCCAGCGTAACCTCATCTCAGAGGAGGAAGTCGTCGGCATCAGAAGGCGATGCGGAAGGGAAGAATTCAGAGGGGAGGAGTTTAGGACATGGGGGGGCAGGGGATGGGTTGAGGTGCTTGGAGGAAGAGATCGGACCAGCATCCCCACAGGAGAATCTGTTCTTGCAACACAACTTCTGAATGGTTCGAATGCTAGAACAATGAACGAATGAACAGAAAATGTAATTAGAAAAGCTCCAAAGTCGCAGCATCATTTGATTTTTTTTTTTTTTTTTTGGAATCAAATGCATTACTTTCTTTTTCATGTCTCGTCTTCGAATGGCGAGTTGGATTGCTTTCATGGATGTTCATCGAGAGAATGCTTGGTGTACTTTTCTTACATACTTGCATTCTTGTGTTGTGGTTTCTTAAGGAATTTTTGGACTGAGCACATTGACATCAGATTACTAGCTGATCATCAATGAAGCAAATAAAGTTTTCCATGATTAAAGCTTTATTGAACTGGTTACTGCAATCTAGTCTTAACATATTTGTGGACTCTGTAATGCACAGAGTTTTTTTTGATACAGGAACTGCTTGGCCATTTTATGTTCTATATTTGGAATATCAGATGATGTATGGATATTAGTGAAGACATTTTGTTCCTTGTAGGAAGTATACTACTATATAACATGAACTTGATGACTGGAAGCTGCTCACTCTTTGTGCAACAGGTTCCCCACATAATAGCATCAAACGATCAAAGATCAAAGTAATACAAATGCAAGAAAGGAAAAGAATTGGAAATGCAAAAGAAGAATGATTTTGTTAACCTTTTATCAAATTTTGTTTGGAGTACTGTTTTCCACAAGACTAAACCCACCATTCCCATATTCCTAAAATTTTCTCACTGATCATGTATCCATGTCAAGTCCTTGATGCAAGACAGTTCACCTTCTTTTCAAGCTGTTTGATTGAAATGTATGCTTTTGGACTAAATTTGATATTGTAACAAGATGATGATGATGATGATGATGATGATGATGATGATGTGATGGGCCATTAAAGGACAAACATCAGATCATACTCAATTGTCACCATTTAAATGCTACGTCTCCATGAAGAGGAATCCATCAGCTGCACAGAGAAACCTTCCAGGTTTTGCAGATTGAACAACTTTGAAAACGGAAAATATGCATACATATATATGGGATTAGTGTTTCAATCTACGCAACTTTGTCATAGTAATCCAATGCCTAACATAGGAGCAAAAGTCTAGTTAGTTCATCTTTAAATGTCATGTCTCCAACAAATGGACAAACATCATTTAAATGATGATGAGGAGGTGGAGGACGACGTGATGGGCCAACAATGGACAAACATCATATCCAACTCAATTGTGACCATTTAAATGCCATGTCTCCACAAAGACAAATCCATGAGTCAGATCTGTCAACTAAACAGAGAAACGTTACGATTGAACAACTTTGAAAGCAGAAAATTATATATAGAATTAGCGTTTAGATCTACACAACTGTCATAGTGACCTGCACTCATTCGAATGCCTAATATGGGAGAAAATTCTGGTTCACCTTTTAAGCTGTTTGATTGAAATCGATGACTTTCGACTAAATTTGACATTGTAACAAAGATGATGCGAGACAATACATCCAATATTGAAGCTGCAATAGAACTGTCATGTACACACTAAAAATGCTGTTGGCATCATTATAAGAAATATCAGAAAGAGATTGTAGAATGATTTGTGCATCAGACAAGAGGATTGAATCTTTTCTTGGATTAAGGTCTGGAAGGTGCAACAAGCATCAGCTGATCCTGAACATGATCAAATATTTTGCTCAGTAACACACAGGTTGACAATAAAATGAGGAACCAACAGGTGTTATTCTCGATAATGGAACAATCGTGCTTGCAAAGCAAAGATCGATCCCACAGGTAAAGCTGCCACAGAGAAAAAGGTTGCTACAACAATCATGAATACATTGGCATGCTGAACTTTGCTCAACTGAGCAACATAAGGAGGTAAAAATATATACAAAACGGACGAGCGTCAAGGTACAACAAACAAGCAGAACACTACATAAAGAGGCAGCAGATCATGGTTTTTTTCTTTTTTAAATCTTATGCTCTAGGTCTATTTTCCCACCGGGTTATTCTCCTACTTCAGTGGCAAGATATTTTAACCTAAGGTAATATAAATAGCTTCTTGCCAACATCGCAGATATGTATTGTTTCATCATAGGCCAAAGGAACAGGCTCAAGGGCAAACTTTACAGAAAAATTGCAGCGGATGGTCTATAAACTGGGCTGGACTACCTGTGATGCTCACACATATGGCATGTGTTAGTGGACTTTGGGTTGGCAAAGGTGCAGTGGTCGCAAGACCAGAGATTGCCATCGTCCATGCTGCGGCTGGGAGCACCGGCTGCAGAGCTTGTCCCAGCTGGTTTGATCTTGCCATTTTTACTTTTGTTGCCCAAAATTTTCGAGCTTGAACTCTTGCTGCATGTGGCTTGGCTGTTGGAAGAACCAACGTCCTCCAACCCAGTCTCCAGGGCTTGAACAAGATGCTCGAAGTAGTTCCTAGTTACGCTGGGTGGCACAAATACTAATATGAATGAAAATTATGCCAAAATGCAGATGACAAAACCATGCAGAGTAAAGGCATAATGTGTAGCTATATACAAGGGAAAGGGCTAGCAAAAAACAAAAATGAAATGCTTAAGGAATGAAATCAACAAAAAACTTGATTGGACAAGAGATCTAACACTTTGCTGATTGTTAGATCCAATCTGTTTAACAAAGGAGCAAGGTGGGCTCAAGTTTCTGGCTCAAGATCCATTTTCAACTTCTCAAACTGCAATAAATAGAACCCTTCCAGATCAGTTTGACAATCACCATCCGGAAAGTTCTGCTTAACCTTGAACACGAGCCACCAATTAGTTAAGGTCTGAGTTGAGATCTTCCAAGCAGACCAACGGAACAAATTGACCAGGAAATATAAAAAAGTCAGTGATGAATATTGATTTCAGATGAATCATTCCCACCTAACCTGAGCCTGAACATGGGCCACCACTGAGTCAAGGTCTTCCCACCTAACCAGTGTAATAAATTGTCAAAGCAAAATTGATAAGACAGCAGACACGTATTGGTTACACATCAATGTCTCCCCTTAGACAATAGCTAAGGTCGCCAACTCAAGATATTGATCAGGCAAATTTGGTAATAAAGTTACCCCTCTAGACAATAACTTAAGGTCAACAACTCAACAAATATTCACCAAATCTCAATATATCAGATAGGAGGTCAATTTTCAAATCTATAAAACATGATTCAGTAAGTGTTATGTTATATTTCAGTCCCAGGAACCTAAATTTGCATTGTGAATGAATACCAAGTGCAGCAAATATGGCAGCAAAAAATATTCACAACCTTTCTCAGGCATTAGGCTTCCCGAACTGGTCTACCACTTCAAATAGTTAATCTCATGAAGAATTCTTATGAACTTCTAGTGAGGTACTAATGAAAATGCAACCAGGTTAATTGTTTACTATTTGTATAATTTATAACATCAAATGTTAATCTACCAAGTTGTATGCCGACACTTGACAAACAACTAATTATCAATAAGAAACCTTCAGAAATTTTAGTTGTATTACTTCAAATTGAGGCATAAGTGAACGAGCATAGAACTAATTGCACTATAATTATGGAATGATGCTGCAATCTACATTAAAGGGTTAATTGCAAAACCTAGAAATCATCAGTTCATACAATCACAATATCAAAAAACACTGCAGAGAAAGAATTTTAAAGAAAGCCCTGTAACCCAAAAACACCCAAAAAAAAAAAGAACTAAAAATTTTCAACAAACCCTTTCCTAATCAACTAGAACTTTCTACCGCAACTTCAACAGATATTCACATCAGTGGATGTATTATCCAATTTAATAGTTATAATTTGTGATTTTCTAGATCTTCCCTCCTTACCCATATGAAGCAGGGATTACTCCATACCAGTGACACCTCTACAGATTGCTATTTCATGGATTGTAAAGACTATTATCACAATCAATATAAACACCTCACAAGTCCCCAACAGTCAGTATTTGAGTTTCTGTTATTCACGTCCAGCATGATGCCAAACTGATTAGACTTCAACTCCAATGCCTACATTTTAATCCATAAAAAGTTGAAACTAATCCAATGTTGTCAAAAGGTACTTGGGCAAGGCCAAGCATGGTCCAAGTGCCTCAATGGGGTCCGACAAGGCACCTTGAATTGTGCACCACCTAGGCAAGCCCCTTAGTTGGAGCGATTGGCATCCAAAGAACTCACCTAAACTAGCTTTGGTACTCAACACTTGACCAGCCTGACCCAACCTCACCGTGCTTGGTTCACGAGACAACCCAGAATCACATAAGCCCAATGGTGCCCCATGTGACTTGGTTTAGTGCCCAGCCCACACGCATGGACCCGTGCAACTTCACCCAACTGTCACGGACAAAATTGTAAACGGGATGTTTGATGTAATGCTCATGCATGTTCGTGTCTTTCAGTTTTATTCATGCTTTGCACAACATGTAAAGGGCTGGCAGTAGGCTTAGCAACCCCATTTTGGTTGATTTTGGTGATCGTCTTAGGCATGCAAACAAAGGTTGTGTCATGTGGGCATTTGTAGAGATTTCAATCTATAGTGGACTATTTTTGACCCTTTGTTGTACAACCGTTCAAAGCTTGTGAAGTCTGTTTGTAATTTGCATTGACTATGAAGTGTTTGCTGAAATGATTGCTTGTGGATCCTAAATGAAACGCTTTCTCTAACCCATTTTCTCTTTTGTAGATCCTAAGGGACCATAGGAGGTTTCGGGGAGGCTGATCTTTACGGACAGACATGCAAGGATGCCGCACGACTTAAAGCAAAACCAGCTTAAGTGTGTGAACAACGGAATAAGACGTGCTCCCCAAGTTCACACGCAATCCCAATTTTACCTCTTCCAGTGGGAGCCCAACTCATGCGAACCCAACCTTGCACCTCATGCAACCTGGTTCAATGCCAAGCACATGCTTAGGAACCCATGTGCATATTTGATATCGCTTCGACATGGTCTAGTTGAACTTCATATAAGCTCCCCCTCCCCTTATACTGTCGGGCCTTAAACCCCAACTTCAACCTAATGTTCTATCATAGACATCTTTGTTGACCCATCCATCAATCTTCAACCGTACTGACCTTTCATCGTGTCAATCTTGCATTGTCGTCTATACATATCTTCTTCACTTCCCTCCTCTTTCCTCCTATCACACAGGGGCTCAATCGCTACCGTCGCCCTATTCCCTCATCTTCTTTCCCATCCAACCTCTCTTCTAAGAGATCAAACCCCTCCATCTTTGAATATATCAACATATATGTAAAAGAGATAATATTCACATAACTTTTGATACAAAGAATAGTAGATAATTACTCAATAATAGGTGAAAACCCACCAAGGTATTA